CATAATTTCCATATGTCTTGGAATACATTCATTTCTAAAAATTTTTCTGCCACTGATTTTTCTGCCATTAAAAAATGTGTAAACTTTTTAGCTCATGGGCTATACAAAAACAGGCAATGAGTTGTGCCCACCAGCCATAGTTAGTGGATCTCTGCGCTATATAATTACTAGATGTTATTATAATGTCTCTAATTATCTTTTTATAGATTATTATTTTTTCAATTTTTAACTAAAATTTATATGTATATCTTAAATTTAAAATGTATATTTTATTTTTTAATATACATAATATAATATTTACCTCTTTCACCATCTTTAAGTGTATAATCCAGTGCCATTAAACATATTCCCAATGCTTTAGAATCATCACCGTTACCTATACCCCAAATATTTTTGTTGTAGGCAACAGAAACTCTGTTAAAAAATTTCCTTTTGGATTGTTCAGTGTTGATGTGTAGAAACACAAGTGATCTGTCTGTGTTCATCTTGCACCCTGCAACTCTGCTGAATTCATTTATTAGCTCTAGTCATTTTCTTGTGGAGTCTTTGGGATTTACAAGTAGGTCCATGTCATCTGTGACACTTTTTAAAATTTTTAACTCCAACTCAATTTTTTTGTGTGTGTGAGGAAGATTGGCCCTGAACTATCATCATCTGCGGCCAATCTTCCTCTTTTTGCTGTAAGTCAATGCCACAGCATGGCCACTGATGAGTGGTGTAGATCCATGCACAGGAACTGAACCAGGACTGCCGATGTGGAGCCTACCAACTTTAACTACTAAGCCATGTGGGCTGGCCCTCAGAGATACAATTCTTCAAAACTTTAACCAATTTTTAGCTATTCAATGAAAATTAATTTCTATGTTGTAATTGGTAGAGTAATTTTAATCTACTTAGCATGAACCTAAGCATAATCAATTGTAAATACCATTCCTCTCCAGATATAACAATGCATTAGACACACTCTGACCACTGTCAAAGGTTTTATTAAGTGATTCTCTGACAAGGTAAGACTTAGTGTTTGGTATCTTGTGACGTTTGTCAAAAGTGCCTCGAACATCCCCCTACCTTCCCTTTCAACATTCTGGTTCCCTATCTTTCAGAAACTCCTGCTCCCATCCTTCCAGTTGTCCTATTTTGAATAAATGTGTTCAGAGTGAAAGATAATTCCTGCATGTATAGATTCTGTGAGAGGGATGTTACCTGATTTAACAGGCCAAGGGCTTGTGGTGTCTGTGTCATTTGAGAGATTAAAGCGTGGGAGACATTGCCATTTGGCCTCTAAAAGTTCGCCTGCTCTGTCAGTCCTCTTTGGAATGGGCAATGCTTCTACACCATGGAGTATACCTGGGATAGAAAGGGCACACAAGTGGTGTTGGCAGAAGGATGCAGACTGGGTAAGACTGCCCTCAATGAGAAAAGCACATCCTACAGTGATGGGGAAGCAAGTGATTGATAGCTTATCTATGGGAAAGGAGATCAGAAAATAGATTGGATATGAACAGGTTGCGGTGGAGGTATCATTTCCACAGTATATCTGATATCCCATCTCTGGAATGATCTGTAAGAGAGTGTGGCATGAAGTGAGGTAGGTGATATATGAGTCAAGAGTTGAGGAAGGAGCACAGTAGATGGGGTATCACACACACAGACTGTGTGTACTTGGTGCTGTCATCCAGAGGGATTTTGTTCTTCACCCATAGGGAGGATTGCTGTAAGCAATTAGTGGAAGCCTGGATGGGGTGAGAGGAATGCATGATAGAGGACAGATAGGCATTGAGTGTGGTGTTGATATCCGCATATATGTCGTTACTGATCTAGACACTGGCTGCATAGATGAATGTGTAAAGACAGTGATCAGGGCAAGCCCAACAGATGCACTTGTTTAAAGGCCTGCTTGTGATCTGAGCAAGATGGACATGTATGTTGGTGGTATTATTGTGGCAGCAGGGAGGAACAGCAATGGGAGGGATAAGGTCAGAGCGTGAGCAGCACAGTGTGGCACAAAAGAGCAGGGCTTATTGTTCTGTGTGGTAGGAGAGAGAGAGTGTCATTGGAGGTCTTGTATTGGAATGCATATGCCCTAGTGTAAGACGTAGAGGGACTGTTAGTGGTGTCCATGCGATGGCATGGGTACTCTCCTATGCTAGAAAGAGTGGTTATTAGTGGGACCTCCTGCTGGTGTGTGTATCCTCTAGTGTAATTGAGAGGGTGGATGTCAGTGGAAGCCTAGTGTTGTGATAGATACTATCTGCAGTACCAGAGACAGTACTTATTTTTGGAGGCCTAATGTCGGGGTTATGAATCGCAAGTGTAAGTGATAGAAAGTGGGTGTTAGTCAAGGTCTGGTACTGGGATGGGTGTTCTAGAATGTAAAAGGGAGTGTGGGTTATGGGGAAGGCCTCATGCAGGGGTGGGTATTCTCTAGTATAAAAGAGAGAGGGTACTGGGGGAGTCCGCATGCAGCAATGAATAATTTATCATGTAAGACTTGATTTGGGTGATAGTAGAGGACTCATGAATGGAAAATATTCTCTGATGTAAGAGAAACAGAAAGTGCCAGAGGAGGCTTCATGTTGGGATGAGTATTCTCTAGTGCTAGAGAGAGGGGGGTATTTGTGGAGGCCTCCTGCCGGTATGTTTTGGGGCAAATAAAAGTCTCCTGTAATTTTTTAGAGTGTACAGAGGGAGGGCACTTCGCTAGGGAGCCATATAGGCTAGACAGGGCGGTAATGTTGATGGGCACCTTTGTTCTAAGAGTGTTATGCAATCACTGCACTTGAACCCAAAGAAGGTAATAGTAATGAGCTTTCTGGGTTGTAGTTGTATATCAAATTAATATGTTTTAAACTGGATAAAATTTGATAAACATGGAGTTAATGTTCAGGGTAATTTGATCAGTCAGTTGTTTCTTTGAGTTACTACCCATGCATGCATTGTCCAATGCTTTTTGAAAATTTATGAGAATTGGAATTACTAAATGTGTTTGTCATATTAATATTGTCCTTACAGGAAACATTTAGTGGCTTAAGAATATTTTGAGTTCTGTATTTGTAAGTGTGCCTTGCTTTGTCTCTGAAATGTTTAAAATGATCAAGTGTATCAAATTAATACTTTTTTGAATCTGATAAAATTTGAAAAACATGGAGTTAATGTTCATGGTAATTTGATCAGTCAGTCGTTTCTTTGAATTCCTGCCCAACTACACCCCAGAAAGCTCATTACTATCTGGGCACATGAGTCACTCTAGTCCTGACTCTCAGTTCTAGCCCTTTGGTAAAATCCCATGGAAAGTTTCTTTTTATGTTCAAGAGAGAAGTAGTAAAGAGACATTTTCCAAAGTTTCTCAAGCAGAGACATGCTCAACTGCCTCCTCTTAAACCTTCTGTATGTCTGAATCCTAATCATCCTTCCAGGTTGGTCCCCCTCACACCTCCTGGGCCAGCCTTGACACAAAGATCCCCATTCTGGGATTTCCAGGTCTCTGATGGAAGGGATCGTTCGCATTGATGGGCATCCTTTCAGTATGTTCCTCACCTTGCAGGCATGTGCAGCCCTTGAAGGGCTAAAGGAACACTGACTGACAAATATCTGCTAACTACTGCTCCCTAGCAGCAGAACACTCTACCCATCTTGCTCTAGAAATATCTATATAAAATTTCTATTATCATACCCCATCTTTCCCCTCACCCCACTAGGCACATCAGGTTTTGGTTCTAATGAGTCAGAAGAAAAGAAAATACATAAAACAGAGAATAGAGTAGGTAAGAGTCTTTAGGGAAAAAGTCTTTAATTTTTACAGCAAGTGATAAAAATGGAGCGCCTTTCCTTCATCTGTCTTTCTTTCACAAGCATGACATTACAATAATTTTAATAATAGTAATAATTAAATTGTTCAAATGGTGTTCCCTGCCCAGAACTTAATACACAAAACGTGCAAAGTCAAATATTTGAAAATGTTTCTCTCCCTATCTACTTCTGTGAAGAAAACAAGATAACCTTTCCATTTTTATTTCAAATCCTCAGTAGAAGAAAAGACTGATTCGGGCTTGTTTTGAACAGGACATGTCCAGCCACTTGTTTGGCACTATTAAATACTTTAAGTGATACGAGTTACTAAATGCAATTTCACTTCCATTCTTAAAATTTATTAATTATTTACTAACTGCCCACTATACACAACATGTCCAGTTAGATTCAGAAATGAAAAAAATGTCAAATAAAAACTGGATCCTATCTCCAAGTAGCTTACTGTACAGCAGGGAGATCTCTATTCAGTAAAAACACAAAATATAAAGTGATAGAAAAATGAGATAAGCAGCACAGAGATATTTTCCAAAGTTTCTGAAAAAGATGCGTGCTCAACTCTCTCCTCATAAACTAGCTCTATGTCTGAGTCCTAATCATCCTTCCATGTTGGTTCCCCTTCCACCTCCTGCACCAGCCCTACCACAGGGGTTCCACATTCTTAGATTTCCTGGATCTCTCATGGAAGGGAGTATGTGCATTGCTGGTCATCTTTTTAATATGTTCCTTACCTTGTAGTCACATCCAGTGTGTCCTCTACATCCTTGAAAGGATAAAGGAACACTGACTGATAAACACCTGCTAACTACTACTCCCTTAGAGGATGAAACTCTACCTATCCTGCTCCAGAAATCTTTATAAATTTGCCGTTATCATATCCCATCTCCACCCACCCTAAATTCTAGGCAAATCAGATTTTTGGCTTTCATGAGTCAAAAGGAAAGAAGGTATACAAAACAGAGACTGGAGTAGGTAAGAGTCTTTAGGGAAAACATCTTCAATTTTCACAGAAAGTGACAAAAATTGAGTGTCTTTCCTTCATGAAATTTAGACTTAAGTCTAGCTGAGTATGAGCTGCCAAACAGATGGATGGAACCCATGCTGATGTGTGTGGTCACCAACATATGAGATACTTCCTGCCTTAATATCCACATGCATGGCTTCTGGAACAAGTCAGGACAAAGGCCTCTATGTTAATATTCATCAGAAAATGGGTACTCAGGATGGTCAGCAGCACTGAAACAATAAAGCAAAATGTATATATGGGTTCATGACACTGTTGTTAGGTGATAGAGACGTGATTTCTACAGCGCTGTCATTAGAATGAATACAAACATTTTATCTCCTGTCCGGTTTTGAAGGATGCCTTTATTTCTTTCACAAACAAGACTTCATAACAATTTTTTAAATGATAATTAAATTATTCAAATCATATTCCCTGTTCAGAACTTAACACACAGAACACGCAGTGTCAAATATTCAAATTTGTTCCCCTCCCTAGCTACCTTCATGAATTCAGCAACAAGATAGCTTGTCCATTCTTATTTCAAATCCTTGGTGGAAGAAGAAACTGATTCTGGCTTATTTTTAACAGGACAAGTCCAGCCACATGCTTGGCACTAATAAATACTTAGGGTGATACATGTTACTGAATGCAATTTCACTTCCAGCTTTTGAATTTATTAATTATTTAATAGCTGCCCACAACCTGCAACATATTGAGTGAGATTCAGACATGGAAAGAACATCATGTAAACATTGGGTCCCATCTCCAAGGACCTTACTCTACAGTAAGGAGATCTCAATTCAATTATGACCCCAAATAGAAAGAGAGAGAAAAATGATTGCTTATTATTAAATAGCTAATTTATTGGAAGAATGACTGATTGAATACCACTCTGTCTTTCTCTCTGCATTCCCCATCTTATTCTTCATTTGTCTCTATACCAGTAAATATATTATCAAGAATAATAATACATCTAGCAACTTTAGAGTACTCACAGCTTTTCATTATGCTGCTTCTTTAACATACAATATCACATTTATTATTCTTATGAATTAAAATTCTCACAGACAAAAAGAAAATGCATTCTTCCCTTTCCATCATTTAAAAGGAAGGTCTTTTCTCAAAATTCCATAACCTTAGAGCACGAAACAATAGTCAAGATCTTTTGAAAGCTGCAAATTTTGTCCGGCAATGGTGCTTTTGCCTCCAAACTCTTCCTTTGGTTTAAATCTCTCTTCTTGAGACTTTTTCCTCTGCATTGAGATCACCATATTTCAGAAAATCTAAACCAAGAATTCCTGTGGACAGCCTTTCTGGAGGGAAATGCAGTATTTGGGTCCTTGACAAACATGCGATGAAAACGAAGGGAGAGATTTGGAAACTTATGAAGGACATAAATTCGGCAGGATCTCATGGAAATTCCATATGGGGGTGATGGGCATGTCTGGGATTGACCACAAGCTTGATGGAGAAACTTTTAATCTGATAAAGAATTGGGAAATTGGGAGAAGAAGATGATAAACACAGTTTGAGAAATTTTGATTTACGCTATACTGCTGATATCCACAGTGTATGTCTACTAGATTATTGTAGAAATGGGAGCCATACATTGAAGACCTAGATTCAGTAAGGATATCAAGCTTCTTGGAAAGTTCCATGGAATTATGGGTGCAGGATGCATGTGTGTAAGTCCAAGCTGACCCGGGTCCACTCACCCTGTTGTTGTGTCAGTAAACAAAGCTCTGGAGTGAGACAGGCCTGAAATTCCACAAATCTCCTGTCTCATCTCTGACTCAAACTGGCCTCTATCTTCTTGGTATTGAGGCAAATTTTAACAATCATCATACACTCACTATCAGGAAATAAATTGAGGCAAACATATTTACAAAAGTCACTTACACGCGTAAAGGAAGATATCGAAGATTTCGGTTTAGGCCATCTAGGACTTTCATGTCCTCTGAAGTCAACTGGAATTCAAAAACCTATCACAGAACTAGAAAGATTTTTATGGCTTTTAGGTAGCATAATTGCCAATGTGGAAAATCCCAGCAAATCAGACTGAATGTTATAAAGACAATACTCAAAATGTCTTATAAGTTTCCAAAAGTTTTTAAAGAAATCAAGCAAAATACTCAAGTTTCAATAAAAATCAGATAAAAATTCAATAGAAATCCATCCCTAGATATACTATGTTGCAACCACAAGACTACAGAAACAAAGGAGATCTTTAAAAGAGCTGGAAGAATAAAGCTGACATTATTCAAAGAGATAGGGTCATGTCCTTAGAATATCCAGAAGAATCTAGAGATACATTTGAAAATTACATAGTATAATTTAGTAATTTGGTTGAATCTAGATGGATTTCTATATCCTATCAGTGAGCAGTTAGAATGTCAAAAAAATTTTAAGATAATATAAACCAATGATTGTCCAAATACTAAAGACGTCATGTTAAAAGGGCACAGTAACTGTCTTGAAGAAGATATCACTGACAAAATGTGGGACACTTTAAGCATCAGAAAGAATGTCAGTAATGGCTAACATGTCAAACCAAATAAATGCATAGAAATATTCCAAGATAGTGATAGGTGGAGTAGATTAATAAATTGATAGATATGTAGATAGATAGATAGATACATAGGTAGCAGGCAAAATGTCATCAATTTCATAAATAATGAATCTAAGTAAGGCATTTATTGCATTATTCTTTCAACTTTTCTGTACATTTGAAAATCTTCAAAATAAAACGTGAAAAAGTAAGCAAAAGGATGTCAAACTTACTAGTTGTCTGTGAATAAATCTAACAAAAGCATTATGAAAATGTGTTTGTGGAGAAAGTTACCAAATTTATTAAAAATACATAAAAAGTACCTAAGTAATAAAAAATTCATATCATGATCATGGATTGGAAATCTTAATATTGGAAAGAAGACAATTTTCTCCAAATTGATCTACAGTTTCAATGCAATATGAAACAAAACTTCCATTCTTACTTTTTGTGAAAGTTCACAAGTGATACTATATTTTACATAAGGGAACACCTAGTCAAGAATAACCAAGATACTCTTAAAGAAGAAAAAGAATAAAGAAAAAATTTTACCATTATGAAAAGTAAGATTTATTTTCCACTATAGTTAGCCAGTTCAGAAAAGTAGGTAGTTGAATAGAAGAGAGAGGACAGAAATGCATGTAGGGACATTATATATGACACAGATGACATTGAAAATCTGTGGTAACATATGGACCTTTGGATTTTCATTTAAACATCAGTATACTTGGATCCATTTTAACATCATATTAAAAAATCAAGCCCAGGTATATTGAACACAAATTTGAGTGAAAAAACAAAAACGCTTTTGCAAGATCCTCTACCCTTTGAATCTGGCCTAGATTGTAACTGGCATTATAAAAGAAAATTTGCCAGAAGCAGTGGTGAGTTTGTTCTAAGCCCAGACATTAAAAGTCACTGCAAGTATCCACTCACTGGTCTGAGATCATGCCACTAGGATAAGGTAAAGAACAGGCTAGTTGGCTATAGTCTAGCCAAAATACATAAAAAACTATATGGAAAAGAATAAACAGCACTGAAAACAACAAAATCATCCTCCTAAAGCAGAACTGCCAGGTTGCTCTGCATTTAACTGCAAATATATGAGACAGCCCAGCCAAGAAGAGAACTGCTTTGAGAAGGAACCATGAGCTGAATACATGACTTTGGTAGGAAATTTCTAAATTAGCTTCCATTAGTTATGCGACTATAGCTAGTGGTAAAATAATGGTCACCTACACATAAGAAAAATACAGAAAACTTAAAAACACTGAGAAATAAATGACCAGGCAATTACCACAAGGGAAAGTCAAGGAGAATAAATATGTGAAAGTGAAACTGTATTAGTATTCAAGGAAATGCAAACTAAAACCGCAATGACTTGGAGACTGAAGATCACTGCTACAGTCTAACTGTGTGCCCCCAAAATCATCTGCTGGAAACCTAACCCCCACTGTGATGGTTTTAGAAAGTGGGGTCACTGAGTGATGATTAGGTCATGACAGTGGAGCCCTCTTGAATGAGATTCATGCCCTCATGAAAGAGACCTGAAAGAGCTCCCTTGTCCCTCATACCAAGTTAAGGTACAACGTTAATTCTGCAACCCAGAAAAGTGCCGTCATCCAACGATGCTGGTATCCTGCTCTCAGACTTCCAGACTCTAGAAATGTGAGAAATAAATTTCTGTTCTTCATAAGACACTCAGTCTGTAATACTTTGTTATAGCAGCCAAAACGGACTAAGAAAATCACATAAACTAAGTCTCTCATTTTAAAATGAAGAAAAGGAGATTTACTTGCACAGGGCTCTGGAATACATTGCAGATTTAATGAGGGAGCTAAAATCTCTGTTTTGTGTCCAACCTTAATTCCATCCAGTCATTACTCCTGTTTCCAAAGTAGGAGAAACTGGTGGGGATACCCATAAGGCACATACGCGTGGGAAATAAGAGGTACCTCATCTGGACCCAAAGAGGTCTTGAGAGCCTTACAAAGTACAAATGTGAAGGATCTTACTTAAGAGGCTCATGCCCACAGCCTCACTCATCACCTGAATGTTCTCTTTGATCCGCTTCTCATTGTAACTCTTGGCCAGGACCACCACCCCACGCTGTAGCTGGTAGCGAAGGGCAATCACTGCTGGAGTTCGCTCATACATTTTTGCCATGGCACAAAGGACTGGATCCTCCAACAGAACTGGGAAGCTCTTGTCTGCCCTGGAAGGAAATGTAGAAATGCTGAGGACCTGAGACTGAGTGTTCAGTTTTTTAGAAGCCTCCCCAAATAGACCAAGGTGGTCCACTTTACACCACTAATTCACAAAGGGGGTCCCTGGACGAGCAGCATGAGTATCATCTGGGATCTTGCTGGGCTGGCAAATTCCATGGCTTCATCCAAGACCACCTGATTCAGAAACTCAGGTGTGGCACCTACCAGTCTGTGCTTACGAAGCCCTCTAGTCATTTTGATGCATGCTTGTGTTCAGACCAAGGTTTCCAAACTCATGGATTTTTTCTCTACTTGTCAGTGGCTGTTTTCCTTCTCTGCTCATATCCCACAAAGTGTGAATGAGAGTATGAAAGGAGAAAGGGAAATAAAAAGAATGCTATAGTTTTTATTTTAACTTTTCTAAGATATTGATAAAAATTGAGTCATGACAAAATGAGAACTATTCATTTTCTCATTACTTACAGTGTGCAATATTCCTATAGAAGTTTACAAAAATGATTCAGATTGTGGTTTTTTTCTCACATGATGAACCTGGGAGTTATATATTATTATCCTGATTTGAGACATATAGTAAGTAAGGCTTCATGAATGTGTCACTGGAAATATGGTAATTAGTTAATAAATATCTAAATCATGACTTAAGCTTATGTCTTTTTTTCAATTTTTGGATTACATATAGATTTTAATGCCAACATTCGTTATTGATAAATCTATAATGGGACAATTATATTGTAAAAGCATTGGCTGGGTGATAGGATTATAAAGGAGAAGGATCTTTTCCTTCCCTCTCTCTTTCTCCAAGCTGGTTGAGAGTTAATCCCAGAAACTGAGCATGGTATGATTAAAAACATTTCATCAAGAGGTCCCCTTTGTGGCGTAGTGGTTAAGTTTACGTGTTCTGCTTTGGTGGCCTGGGTTTGCCAGTTCAGATCCTGGGCACAAACCTAGATCCTGTTTATCAAGCCATGCTGTGGCAGGTGTCCCACATATAAAATAGAGGAAGATGGGCATAGATGTTAGCTAAGGAACAAGCTTGTTTAGTAAAAAGAAGACAATTAGCGGTGGATGTTAGCTCAGGGCTAATCTTCCCCAAAAAATAAAATCATCAAAAGTGGTGTTTTAAGGGAAGGCTCCAAGGCCCAGTGGGTAAGTTCACATACTCCGCTTCAGCAGCCTGGGGTTTGCCTGTTCAGATCCTGGGCGCTGATCTACACAGCACTCATCATGCCATGCTGTTGTAGTATCCCACATATAAGAGCTAGAACGCCTTACAACTAGTATATACATCTATGTGCTTGGGCTTCAAAAGGAAAAAGAATTGGTGTTGTAGGTAAATTCTTTGTTGTCTTCATTACCATCCTTCTGTGCGCTGGCTTCCCAAAGCACTATAGGCAACTAGGACAATACCTTTTGACTTGCAGAAATTCAACAGTTTGCTCTGGTTGAGATAAGGATGACATTCCACCTGTAGAATGGCAAGAGAGAAGTGTCAGACTATATGAAATGGCAATATTAATATGAAAGAGAAAGGTTAAAAAGATAAAAAGATAAATGAAATACAATTTAATTAAATTTAAACTGGAAAAAGCAACATCGAGTAATGATTTTTACAAAATAAATATTATGTCTCTCTTCCTTGAAGGAATAAAAAAATGAAAACGATGTTCCTGAGAACAAATAAGTCTAGACCAGATGTTGGTTACTCAGTACCATTGTACACTACAAGAAGACATGGCTAATTTCTCATCTGGGACGGGAGAAATACTGTTTGAGCTTTGGACATCAAATTGTGCCGGAAAGCAAGAAATAAGTCAAAGGGCCATGAAGGAATGTCTAAAGGACAAAAGAATCAGTTTGATGGGGATCCCACTGGTGACGTTCAGTAGATTAGAACATCAAAAGGAATAATGACTAAAAGCAACCATAAAACAAAGAGTAAATAAAAATACATGAGACCATAGTGGTGAGAGAGAGAGAGTGAACAAAAATAATTCATCCCAATGATGGTGATTATTACAGTACCTGCATTCTGAGAACATTGGTTATTAAAGGGAAGGAATTAAGCTTTTACCCAGCCTTATAAGAATAATTGTATTTTAAACCTGACTTGCTGAAGAAATGTTCATTTTACAATAAAAGGTCAGGAAAGAAAACTAAAGATAGTGTTTAAAATTGAAAATGATGTATATATCCCAATTAAATAATTAATCCAGGGTGAAATCACTGATAGCTACTCAAAAATTACATGAAAATTTATGGGCAGTGTGCCTTGCCCTGATGACAATTATCACCAAACAGATTGCTATATAATTTGAAAGGGGATAATACACATTTACAAAGAAGAGACCTGGCTATCACTAGCTTGATCAAGAAAATAAAATTGGCATATCTCATAGCGGGACAAATTGTTATGACAAGCTTCCTACTTCAGTGTGATTTGAAGGACACAGCATGCAAAGAACATTTTGTTGCCAATAATGTTAATCCTTAATGTGATAAGGCATTCAGATCTAACTTCTGACTTACAGAATCTATGAATAGAGAAACAAGTTAATAAGCATCACAAGAGAATCACCAGTAAATCCAGAATATTTGACATAAACCTATGTGGAGGTCACGGTAAAAAAAAAAAAAGTGTTGAGTGACCCTCTAGGCTAAGAGTGCTTAAGAAACATGAATCAAAATAATATGTGACCCACAATCAGCCTGTGATTGGAGAAGAAGATCTATAAAACACATTGGAAAAACCATAGAAAAGTTTGAATATGGAAAGGATAGTAGACCATAAGCTTTCCGAGGTCTGTGGGGGTGAATAGTCATTTCTAGAGCTTACTTTATAGAGAGTCAGAAAAATATTACATGTATGCATGTAGATAGCTCCACATATATATAGATACATTTGGCAATGTGGCAAAATGCGAAAAATTTCAGATATAGGAATGAAAATATGGATGTTCTCTATCATACTCAACATCTCTGAATGTCTCAAAATTTTCATAATAAAAGTTGGGAGCAAACTAATGCTAGTGTAGCATGAATTTTTTTAACATGTATAATTTAAAATCAATAGTACTATATCACTATATGACGAATTTTTGCCTTTCATAAGCCACATTTTCCAATCAAAGACTATTACTCCTTGACTCAAAGTCACGCATTGAGGACATGATGGTCAATGAAGTAAGACATTCACATAGAGACAAGGACAGCATGATACCAGTTATATGAGGAATCCAAAATATTCAAACTCATCGAATCAGTGAGCGGAACGCTGATTGCCAGGAACTATGAGGAGGGAGAAATCAGGAGTTCCTAATTGTGGCATGAAGTTCCTATTGTGCAAGATGGATTAGTTCTAGAGGTCTGCTTTATAACATTGTCCCCATAGTTAACAATATTACATTGTAGGCTACACTAAAAAAATTGTCAACAGGCTAGATCTTGCGTGAAGAGTTCTTAGGAAGAAAAAATGAAAATAAAATTTGAAAAAATAAAAGCACCAAGAGAGACTCAGCATAATGTGTCTAAACAGTTAATGTAAGGGTAGAAATCGGTGAGGAGAAGTAAAATAAGATTGAGTAAATCACAAGGTCTGCTCTATGCTCCTGCTAAATGCTCCTAAATGTGGATTTCATCCACCATGAGTATCAACAGAAACCATTTACTTCATCAAGCTAGCCTAGATGACTTTCAGAGTCTCCAGTTACTTTGTATCATATTTATGCTTCCTACTCAAAGACCTCTGAAAGCAGACATCCCAAGACAAAGGATTCAGGCATCCAAACCCCTAACGTCTAACTCATCTCATGTTCACTCTTTCCTTGTTTATTGTGCCTTCCACGTTTTCATGGCCTTCCTTTTTGCAGACAATTCCCTACAAATCACTGTCACCCATCCCATCTGTGACCATCCTTTACAGCTCAGGGCAATGTCACCTTCCTTTGAAGGTCCTGGTAGCTATTTTAGCCCTCTGTCCCCTCCTCTAACTTCCCTAAATTCTTACACATAATTAAGAAATAAAATATCACCACTTTTTTCATTAAGATATTATAAAGCACAGGTACAATTATGGGTTATGTTCACACCCTTCTAGACAGAAGTTATGCTTTCTAGGAACTTCTATTCCATAAAGGTAGGATGAATAGGAGGGGAGGGCAAACAGACATCCGAAAGTACTGCAAGAAGAAGGAGGTTAAGCATAGAAAGGAGAGGAAGCCAAGGGTGCTCACTTGGTTGCAGACAGGCTTGTACTTGAGTCTTGGCTTGTTCAGAATCATCTCCGGCTGCGGCGGTTAAAGTTGGGCACACCGATGGACTTGGCCAATCCTGCATCCTTACATTTCTCCATGGCCTGGGGAGGAAAGGGTGGTGAAGAATCATTTGTTCAATTGGCTATAGATCAAGAATAAATGTAAGAGAAATCTGATGAAAAGAAAAACTGTCACAAATGACATGAAGCCAACCAGCATGATAACCGTGAAGAAAAATGTAGTAAATTAAACAGGAGAAGTTAGTGATGCCAAGAATAATTATTGTCTTCTCCTTAGAAAATATGAGAGAGTATTACACATCGAAGGAAACAGATGCCTAGCCTCATTGCCGCAAGTTCTTCTCCACTCTTTCTCTCTATAAACATTGCAGTAATGAATTCCTCCACGTCAATACAGCATACCAGGTCTTTTAAAGTCCATGAATTGCTGATTCGGAAGGTGCATAGCCCATTCTAAACAGTGGAAGAAATGAGCCAGATTGCCCCTCTCTTGGCTTCCTTCTCTGTGGCCTCTCTTCCAAGCACTCACCTCCCATGTGGCACAGAGATCCACTGTGTCAAATATTACTTTTCCATGTTCATCTTTCGGAAGAAACTCCTCCCCTGGCTGGAATAGAAGCAGTCATTTCAGTGATGTCACAAAACAATTTCTCCACACTTAGCCTGTCTGCAAGGTTCATCTAAGGCTAGGACACTAAGGCTCCATAAGGTAGGTGGTACAGCATTCTAGACAGTAATATTTGCAATCTGATTTGCATATGGAGCTTTAAGGAATGTCTTTAGGAGACAGGCTCCCACTAATCTCTTATACAGTCGTATATTTTAATAAAAACCATTTTTTTAGGTCTTACCTGGGACTCACAGTGACTTATGTTACATTTCTCTGCCCCTTATATTTTCCTCGTGAAAAAGGCTTCCCTTACACTGGGAATGACAGTAAGTGATATTGTTTTATTTCCATAATAACGATTGTAATCTTGACCCAGGCTAGACAATCAGAGTTCCTTATCCCTCCAAACATTCAATGGACCAATGGCAGGCACATGAACCAAACAAGGGGTCAATTGAGGTTCTCTTCAAGATTAATCTGAATGCCAAAATATCCAGAGATACTCTCAAGTGTTAATGACCATAAGCCTTGAAGAGCACTAGGGCCATATTTGCCACCAACAGAAAATGTTGTGACAAAAATGAAGCAAACCAAAAGTAATGCAAAGAAAAAGAGACTTTCCTGAAGACTATTCCAAGTCCTTAAAGTTATCCAACTTGGACTTCCTAATTACATAATCCAATAAACTCTTTTGCATAGGATAGCTTGAGTAGCTTTCTATAACTAAAATCAAGAATTCTACATAGCACAGTCCTTAATGGATAAGTACAATCCACAGAATTCCGTTGTGAAGGTACTCAACACTGCAGGCAAGGGCTCATAAGTCCCTATGAAGCCTGCTGGTATTAGACCCACCCAGAGAGAGCACCACCAGATCAGCTTTCAAGCTGAAATGGTGCGAGAGGAGAGCAACTCATTATGCACAGGTGTAAGGCAGTTCATTGCTCACCACAGCTGCATAAAACTGTCTGTACAACATCACAAGAGATTCAGGAGTCATAAGCAGGACTGTGCATTGAATACATTATTCTTATTTTCTAAATTTTTTGAGGCAGAGAATTTGAGATTGATGAAGTCTTTTGTATTGGAGGCATGGAAAGGAAATTAAGGATTCAAATGAAGTCAGTAAAATATAATTAGAAATTACTATTTTGAGATTCTTTTCTAGTGTAATAATCCCTACATCCTTCTCAGGAAAATTTTAACCCAACCATTCAAACAAGTTGATTGACATTCTGACACAAGAAGCAAAATAGATGTGACCACACAAATTGCCAACCTTCACAGCTGTTGGAAAGTGAATGAGATAGAGATCAACGTAGTCCAGTTGAAGTCTTTTCAGAGACTTTTCCAAGGCTGATTGGACCAACTCTGGTCGAAGGAAAGTGACCCAAAGCTGCAAAGGATAAACAATTAAAGTTGTGTTGCATTAACACTTTAGTCAGTTTTGTTTTTCTTGTTTCACCTAATAATTAGACATTTTTCAACTGGTTGGAAACTGATGACCACAAAGGAAAAATACTTTTTTCCTTCTTGTGTTCCCTTTTGATCTGACTTACCCATAGAAACTCTATCATTTGTTTGAATTTATCATCGGTACATCTACTAACAGAGGAAGGAAATGACTCAACAGATAAAATCTATTATCAAACAATAACAAGGCTCTTTATCTGAATTCTATTTGATACAGTTTACAAAGCATTTCACAAATATAGACTAATTCTATGGAACTTTCAATCATATGGGGAAGATTTAGTATCCTCTTTTTTTTAGATAATTGTAGGGAAAAAGTCCGTTGAACATACCAGTATGTGCAGGACACACAATTCAACTCACTTTAGCTATATCTTATTTAATACACAAAGTGCCTCACGTATTTTTCTTTCTTAAGGATCGAGGTGAGAATTGAGATGCAGAATGCTAAGAAATTGTGGTAAGTCACCCAGATGATAAAGAAAGATATCATCTGCTCAAAGTTCTGCCTGGGGGCTGGCCCTGTGGTGGAGTGGTTAAGGTCTGGTGCTCTGCTTCTGCGGCCAGGGGTTCGAAAGTTCAGATCCCAGGCACAGACATGGCACTGCTCATCATGTCATGCTGAGGCAGCATCCCCCATAGCACAACCAGATGTACTCACAAGTAGAATATACAACTATGTATCGGGGGGCTTTGGGAAGAAGAAAAAAAAAAGATTGGCAACAGTTGTTAACTCAGGTGCAATTCTTTTAAAAAAAAAAAAAAAACAAAGAAGAAAAATGAAACAAAGAGTTTGGAAAAAAAAAGTTCTGTCTGATCAATAGTCCATGATAAGTCACACTGCTATGATCTGAGGATCACAAAAGTAAACTGACGTTACTTTAATTTTATAAAATTTGAACAAAGAAATGATGATAACGCCTTCATCTTTTTTTTTCCTGCTTTTTTACTCCCCAGATCCCCCCAGTATATAGTTGTATATTTTAGCTGTGGGTCCCTGTAGTTGTGGCACGTAGGACACCGCCTCACCGTGGCCTGATGAGCGGTGCCATGTCCACACCCAGGATCCAAACCGGCGAAACCCTGGGCCGCCAAAGCAGAGCGGGCGAACTTAACCACTTGGCCACGGGCCGGCCACCGTCATCTTTTTTTGATACTTGATTTAATACGTAAATATATGTGAAGAAAGTTGTACCAATAAGCACAATTCACCACATAACTACTGTTCCTACCTTACATTTGTCACCTCCACACAATTACGTTCACACTTGTGCACATACACACACCACATACACATCACCTTTGAAGTGTAGAATATGTCTTCTCTCTTCACAGTTCCATCTTCAATTTTGCTTCGGATGGCCTGTCCGACCTCTTTTTCATTATTGTACACATAAGCACTATCAATGTGGCGGAACCCAGCATCTATAGCTAATTTGGTGACCTCCACAGCTTTGCTTTTAGGAACCTATTGAGCGAGCAAGTAGTAGTTAGATATCCACAAGATTGAGAGATAGCTAAGGCAACTTTGACCTTTCCAAAAATCAACTTTTCCTCCTGTCTTAGGTTAGTTCTGCATATGTGGTCATGAACCTAGGGCAGTTTGCCTGAGTCTTTCCTGATAAGTAATAAAAATTGGGCATCACAGGTACCTCTTTAATCCTGGGCAATCACTAATTGATCACAAGCATTGGAGGTCCCCACTGCCATCTCCATGCTCAGTAATTTGCTAATATAACTCACAGGACTCAGCATATAGTTGTAGTTGTGGATACGATTTATACTGTGAGAGGTTGCTAAGCAAAATCAACAAAAGGAAAAGGTACATTGAATGAAATCTCAAGATACAGGGTGAAAGCTTCGAAGAGTCCTCTAACCGTGTAATTGCATAGGCACACTGTGTACAAATGAAATAAAATTGAATAAAAATTGTGTACAAATGAAAGAAGTACATATTTAAGGTGTACAAAATAATGTTTCATATATGTATATATTGTGAAATTATTACCACAATTAAGCCAATTAAAATAGCCATCACATCAGATAATTAACGTTTGTGTGTCTGTGGTGCGAACACTTAAGACCTCTCCTCTTAGCAATTCTCAAAAATATAATACATTTTTTTTAACTATAGTCACCATGCTGTATATTAGTGCTCCAGATGTTGCTCATCATATAACTGACAGTTTGTACCCTTTGACCAACATTTCCTCATTTTTTTCAGGGACCCCCTCCCCCTGCCCCTAGTCATCAATCCTCTACTCTCTACTCCTACAAGTAGATTTTTATCTACTCTCATTTTTAGATTCCATATATTATTAGGATAAGGCAATCCTTGTCTTTCTGTGTCTGGTTTAATTTACTTAGCACAATGTCCTCCAGCTTCATCCCTGTGGCTGCAAGTAGCAGGATTGCCTTCTTTTTTAAGCCTGAATAATATTCCGTTTCTTTCTAAATAATTTTTGAAACTTTCTTTTTTAAATGATATTGCTAGGGACTCGATAATTTGTCTAACTGTCCACTGCTGGTCATGCTCTTCCCTTAGCTGGAAGGGTATTCAAAAGTTTATTGAAGCTTGAGATTCACTGGTATTCTTGACCCTTCCCTCTCCTTCATCCAACCTTGTATGATAATGTAGACAAGTCCTGTTATCTGTCTCCATACATCTCCTTGAATATTTCCTACTGTTTTAGAGATGAGAAAGTCAGACACAAAGTTTAAGTGCTAGCCCCTTGTCATACAAGTGAATAGTCTAAAGACACGATTTGTAGGGCTCCATTCCAGTGACTTGTCCAATTTGCTCCCTCTCCTTTCCAAGGTCAGACTCTATCTATTTGCTTCACATGAAAGTAATAACAAGCACCAAGCATTCTTGCCCTGGAATGCTGTGCCTTATTCTCTCAAATGATATTATATTTTCCATTTGGGATAAATCCCCAAGCAATAGGAGAAGTCCAAAGGAAACTACAGGTAGAGTATTTATATCCTAGCACACAGCAGGCTACCCCACAGCAGAACAGCAACTCTCTCCCATAATTTGTCATTCATCTCATCTCCAGGACCTTCTACCACAAATTGCCGGGGTCCAGCCTTGGCAGAGTCCAGGTTCCCGCGGGAGAGACAGCGTCGGCGAAAGTGTAAGTGCTAGACGTGAGACTCGACGCAGTTGCAAGCAAGTCCAATTTATTTCGGGGACAGGGTACACTTACATAGGAAAAAATCACACGAGGTGGTCTAACTCTTGTCGTCGTGGGAACAATAGATGAGGGGCAGTGCGTGACTAAAGGTAATAATCAAAGGTGGTTATCTACCTCAGGATTTTCCAGTCCTGTAGGAGAGGGAGAAGAAGAGGGCATCCCTGAGCTATAAATAAGCAATGCTTGTGTTCACCAGTGAATAACTGCTTGATTTTCTCCTCGCTCATTCTCTACAAGAGAACTATCAATGCACAGAGAACAGTAAATATTTACTCACCAGAGGATATATGGACATGGTTTAAAAAAATAAAGAAAATTATGTTGCCAGCAGTTCTCATCCCTAGGAATTGACATGTTTTGTCTAATGACTTCTCTCCAGAAAGAGTGGGGTCAAGGGCTGTTCCATGGGAATAAAACCAGAGTACACCTGAACTTTACAGAGTCTTCAGGGTATGGCAAGGGGCCCGAGGGGCTATGCAGGCCAAAGTGCAGATTACATTGTTTTGGAAAGTAAGGAGATGGTAGAGGCTGAAGGGTAGGAGGGATGGAAGGGATCCAGGGTAGAAAGAGGACATGAGGCACTATTGTTGTCCTAGGAGGAATTTTAGGGAAAAAAACAGAGAAGATTAAGCAGATATTCATGGAGTTTGAATTATGGTGTTTGATAAAATTCGTAACCCATGGAGTCTGAACTACAATCCACTTCATTCACTATGGTGTCATGGAGTGGGTTCTGCCTGAAGAATAAAATGTGCATTGAATGTGGCCTCAAGAAGAGCGAAGGAGAAAGGTGAGGCTCTTTTGGGGATCACTTCCTCTATTGCATCATTTTTAATTTTAATAAAATCACCCAATTCTGTCCTCAAACACTTAGAGTCAACTGAGGCTCCTGTTCTCAGAGGATGACTCACCAGTGAAACACCTGGCCGGGCCCATAGTGCAGGGAGTGGTGGAGAGAAAATTGATAACTTCAATGACTGTTTCAGTTAGGACACAACGAGATCAAGAAAACCTCTCTCAAGTTGGTTTAAGCCCCATAGAAATGTGTTAGCCCCATAACAAGAAGTCCAGAAGAAGAACCAACTTGGCATTGGCCACAGGAGGTCCAGATCTTCTCCAGTATTCTCTTGGCTCTCCCTTCTTCTGTGTGCTGGCATCATACTTGTGCTGGGTGAAGACAGGGCAGCAATTTCAGACATCACATAACAACAGCACATATCCAGTCAAAGGAGAGGGGCCACCTGTGTTAGGAAGTGAGGGAAACTGTCTTAGAAGCCTGCAGCACTGTTCCTTTCATGTGTCACTGAACAGGATAGGGTCACAGTCCTCTTCCCAAGGCGATTACATGTCAAGGGCAATGGAGTTAACAAGAGTGACCTAAACAAACCATTTGGAGTACAGTGGGTGTTTGGAAGGCAGACACTTTGAGCACTGAAATCATAGTGAGAATGTGGTGGTCTTTAGATTAGACAATTCAGATCTTGGCCACATTTAGAAACTCTTGGTGAGTTTTTAAAACATAGGCTTTACTAGAGCTAAACCAATGAGAATCTCCAGTGAGTATGAGTCTCAACTTCAGATAAAGGGTCCATATAAGTAAAAGCAGAACAATTATCTTGGTTTTAGAGACATTTACCTTTTGTGATTGGTACGAGGACAGACTAAGAGGTGAAAAAGCCAGGAGGCTTCACCCAGCACCAATCAGTTTAAAGGAGAAGTATAGAGAATGAATGGAGTTTGATTTAACTGAAATTTCTTACTTAAGCTGATTTGAATATGCAAACTTCTACGAGAGTTGAAAGGAGAAAAAGAAGGAGAAAGACTCATGATTACAATTCTTGATGAGTCACTAACTTGATCAATTGAAATGTAGTAGAAACCACAGAATCAGAGAACTGATCAGGGTGGAATGTGTTAGAGTTAAGATCAGAGATGAAGCAGTTCTAAGAAGTAAATGTGGGAGTAGTTACCTCACATAGTGTAGGTACAAGTAAAAACTCTTAGGAGTTGAGGATGTTGAAACTCTGAGAAGCTTGAGTTGTCTGCATGAACAAGGATGATGTCAACACATCCTGGGACGGAATTATAAACTAAAACCAAGAAGGGAGTGTACCGAGAAGTGGGTAAGATGGTAAAGTCAAACTGATATCAGCCTTAAAAGGACAGTTTTTCATTCATGTGGCCTCCTTCTTGATAATCTGAGATGAAAATCTACAGTTTTACTACTTAGCACCTGGTGATATAATTATTCCTACTAGAAAGAAGAGGAAACTGAAGCTTAGTTGCCCCAAATTAACCACAGAACTAGTATAGCAGACTGAATAATGGTCCCCACGATGTCCATGCCCTAATCTATGAAACCTGTGAATATGTCCCCTTGCATGGCAAAAAGGACTTTGTAGATGTGATTAAGGATATAGAGATGCGAGGATTTCCTAGATTATCTCAGGAAACCTGATGTATTCACAAAGTCCTTTTAAGGAGAACCTCGGAGGGTGTCAGTCAAAGAAGAGATGTGATGATAGAAGCGTAGATAAGAGATTCTAAGACGCTGTGCAGCTGGCTTTGGAAATGGTGGAATAGTCCATGAGACAAGGAATGAAGTTGTCCTCTAGAAGTTGGAAAAGGTGAGGAAATGGATTTTGCCCTAGAGGTTCAAGGAATGCAGGCCCACAGACATTTTTATTTTAGCCCATTGATGCTGATTTTTACCTTCTGAGCCCCAGAAGTGTAAGATAAATTTGTACGGTTTCAGGCAACAATGTTTGTGATAATCTGTTATAGTAGCAACAGGAAACTAATGCATAGATGATTCCATCAAGTCTCCCCTCCCTCTTCTGCATCATCGATTTCTGTCTCCTTACTAGGGCATCTTAGAGCAGAGGGTTGTGCTGTTATTTCTCCCATCACAGACAATCCTCACTTGGCTTCATTTTCCTCCTCAGCAACTGCCTAATTCTCTGGTCCTCTTTATATCAAATTCTTTGAAAATTGTCTATGTTCTGTCCCTGATTGCTCTCTTCCCACACTTTCTTGAACCCACGGTATTCAGGCTTTTGTCTCCACCCTTCTAACAAAACAGCTCTTGACTTTGTTAAGGTCAATTGCCAAATTACAGACTCCCTTTCAGTCCTCACCTTACTTGTTCTATAGAACAAGTTTTGACTTATTCGTTTGACTCTTCCCCTGAAACAGTTCCTTCATTTGCATTCCAGGACAGAACAATCTCCCACTGTTCCTCGTACCTCACTAGCCCCTCCTTCTCAGACTCCTCTGCTGGTTCCTCCACTTTTTTTTTTTTTTTTTTTTCCTTTTTCTTCCCAAAGCCCCCCCCCCCGGTACATAGTTGTGTATTCTTCGTTGTGGGTTCTTCTAGTTGTGGCATGTGGGACGCTGCCTCAGCGTGGTCTGATGAGCAGTGCCATGTCCACGCCCAGGATTCGAACTAACGAAACACAGGGCTGCCTGCAGCGGAGCTCACGAACTTAACCACTCGGCCACGGGGCCAGCCCCAACCTCCACTTTTTTAAAACAAATCCTTAATGATGGGATCCCTCATGGCTCTTCTCTTCTCTGTCCACACTTACTCATCTAATCTAATCTCTGATCATCCTCCTTTGTAGCTTTATAATGAGAACTATATTCTCACAAATCCCAAATATATATCTTTGTTCTAGACTTCTTCTCTCCTCTAAACTTGCATGCCCCACTATCGACACAGCATCTTCACCTGGATACCTAACAGGCATCTCAAACACACATATCTAAAATTAAACTCATCATCTTCCCACAAAGGTTTGCTCCTAACACACTGTCTCCATCTCATCAAATGGAAACTTCTTCCTTCCACTTCCTTATCTTAAAATGTCTGGAGTCAACTTTGACTCCTTATTTTCCTTTTACAACATATCCAATATGTTGGAAAGCCTCCTTGACTCGATTTTTATAATATATCCATATTTTAACAACATCTGACCACCTTGAATGCTCATACCATCATCTATCCAACACAATCTCTCACTTGAATTTTTGCAGAAAGCCCTAACAGAGAGGTCTTTTCCCTTGTATTTTCTCAATGCAACATCCAGAGTGATCCATTTAAGCTAGTCAGCTCATGTAGTTGTTACTCTGCAATCATTCTCCATTTTGCTCAGAAGAAAAGTTAAAGGCCTTTCAAAAGCCAACATGACAAAGTTCCCTATTGCAGATCTGGAACTTATCCTCTACTACTATCTTCCTTGCTCACTAAACATCACCTTCATTAGCCTACGTGTTGTCACTTACGTATTATAGGAACCTTGATTCTTCTTGGCCTTAGTATTTTCTGTTCCATGTCCAGGAATTCTCTCTGACACATCCACATAACTCACTCTTTTGTCTCATCCCAATTTTTGCTCAAGTCACCTTTTCATTGAAGTTCTTTTCGACCATCTTATTTAAAATAACACCCAGCACTCCCATTGTCCATCACCATCTCTTTTCCTCCCTGCTTACTTTTTCTCCATATCTCTGTGAAGCATCACTAAGGATTTAAGATTTTAACCTGACTTGCAATCTAACAAACAAATTAACTTACCACAGTTTCATGGATGCTGGTAGAAGTCATGAACCTTGTGGGTCAGAGAAGAAGGACCATTATTTATTATTCACAACAATTTGCTGTAGCCAAAGTGATAGCATTTTTTCCCAGCTTTATTGAAATATAGTTGGCACATAACATTGTATAAGTTTACGATTTACAATGTGGGGGTTTGGTAAACAGATGTTGTGAAAACGTTTCCCACGTTAAGGATTCCTGCTTTAGGTCCTTGAGCCCACATTTCTACAGGGTGAAGTGAAGGCGCCCACATGAGACCTGATCTTGCAGGTTGACTTACAGGAGGAAAACCTGAATCTAGGGAACTCGGATGCACTCTAGCAGGCACTGAGCATGCTTGCCCCTGCCCTTGCTCTAGAGGGAGATATTTTCTTTCTATTGCTTCACAGCAGGCACAACTTCCATTTCTTTGGAGGGAGCCACTAACTCTACATTCCAAGGCTGTTTGCTGCACAAACATCTTGTAAAAGTAGAGTAGAATGCAGGGTAGAGAGTTCCTCTGCTTATTAGGGGTACAGAAGTATGAGATCTGCAGAATTATCTCCCAACAGACACCTACCCATTTCTAACAGTTAAGTATTTATTTCATTCATGATCTTCTTCCCCCCACTAGCCTGTAAACTCAAGACACTTCTCATCTCAATTTAATTCTTGTCTATTTTATTGATTGATAAGACAATGTCTGGCACATAAGGATGTTCAATAAGGTTTCTGCTGAATGAATAAATGAATCAATGAAAAAATATACAAGAATGAGTCAAAATGTCAAAACATAGGCAGATGATTAATGAATTAAATAAATTAATAAGATGCAATGCTTTACAACAAGAGAAATATGATACTGAAATTTTTAATAATATTTGATAGCTTTGGAAAATATTTATACGTTAAGTAAAAAACAGTACACAGTCTGTGTATTGAAGTTCATTTCAAATTGTAAATAAACACACACCCCACATTTCTATAGGAAAATCATGAAAGAAAATGCACCAAAAGTTCAAGAATTTTTAAATGGATTAATTATGTTACTTTTACTCTCCCTACTTTCCCTTTTATTTTTCAAGTTTTCTGTAATTTGTATGTGTTATTTTAATAATCAAGAAAAGCAAACATACTTATTTTTAAGTCTTTATTATTTCATAAATTACAAAAGAAATGAAAATGAGAATAAAGGAAAGTGAGCACCCTGAAACTACAGACATTGGTTTGAATCACCTCCACCAAGTACAGAAATGCTCTCCACACACTTAGACAGGAAATTCTTAGAGCTCATGGTGCACAGCTCGTGGTCAATATTCTTCAGAAAATGGATAATAAGGATGATCAACAGCACTGAAAGAGAAGGATTTAATGCATTAAATCTGTCTTCACACTGTCAAAGAGAGAGTTTCTCCAAGGACGCAGTCAGGATGGGATCAAAACTAAATTCACGAACACATCCCTCCTTCCACCCAGACACACATCCATGCAGGCTCCCTGTCCGTGTGCACATTCCACCTGCGTGCCAGATTCCCACATCCCCACATAGACAAATGCCAAAGTGACAGGTAATTTGATTTAAATTACGATTTATATTTATTTATAAGTAAGAACTACAGCTAAAATGTTGTGGTCATTTCAGCCGCAGGTGTCACTCTCATCCCTAGCCAATGAGAGTGATGACGGTAAGGATTTTGCTGTTGTTTTTCACACGTTCTTTCCACAAGTATATACCGATCACCCTCAGAAATCCAGGGTCCCTCCAACAAGGAACTTCTACTGAGGAGACAACATACACATCTACATAACCACACCTACAAAATAGGACTACTGTTTTCTTAATTTATAATTTATGAGAATATTTGTTATTCAATCATTGTTATTACTGTTGATTTTGATTTGTTTCCATGTTATTATTTTCCTTTTTAAACTTCTCCTTTTCAACTCAATATCATTGAAGACTTCATTTTGAGCAATTCTATGGGGCGGGACTTGATCTGTTGACATAGGGCCAGACGGATGAGTGGAAGTATGTGTTCACAGCTTAATGAAGGAGATGATAGACTTATAATTAAAAGTCTTTGGAAATAGAAAAGGTACTTTCTCAGAATCATGATTTAGTTTTAACAGAAGGAGAATTTTGAGATCTTTCTTTAGAAGTAAATCTTTATTCTATAACTAAAATACTATTCCCCTTATCTCTAAACTCTCTTCCAAACTTCTTGGTTCAATTAGTCTTCTTTCTCTTCCTCCTGAGATGCTCCTGCAGGAACTGAACAACTGGAATGCTATGTTTGTGAACAAGTTAAAGTCAAAGGAGATGGAGGGTCCCAGGGGAGAGTCTCCTGAAGGACAAAGGCCACTGTGAAGAAAGCCTTGACTTAAGAAACAGAGAAATCCAGAGGATCTTTTCTTGGTGTGGGCCACTGGAGACACATCAGTCACCAATATTAGTGTCAATTAAGTTCATGACCCATTTATAGTTCAGTTTGGTGAGATAACACAGCTGAGGAAATGAGAGTTGTGATAGGGAAAAAAGGCCAACGAAGAGATAAATTTGGAAGAAATGTATGGTGTTTGGGGACAGGAATGTCCTTTAAGGCGAAATGCCAGTGGACACTAAGAAAAGAAAGCAGAAGCAGGGCCACAGCATTACTTTCACAGTACCTAAGCACATCTGACTTCCTGAGCCCCCTCCTCTGTAAAAAATATTAATATTGCATTTTACTATTGTGTTAGGATAAAAATGAATAGCATCCAGGCTGGCTTCATTATTATGAAAGCATTATTAATATAATCACTTTTTTCTCCTGATTATAAAAGTAACTAAAGATGAAATATTTTGTAGGTCCCCTAAAATTATACTGGAGCAAAGGCACTGTGCATTCCATGTTGAATGGGTAAGTCAGCCCTGTGTGGAAGCTCGCCAGACACAGAGATTAGGGGCAAAAAGGGAGTAAATTCCCCATGATGGAAATTTTGGCAATTTTGCTTGTGCTCTGTCCTGGGCCCCACTTGTATTTCTCTTGGATCAGAGACTGAGCCACCCTGGAGTCAGATCTGGTCTGAGGTCTACAGTAAGCTCCTGTTTTACTCCTACTCTGGAAATCAGGTCTGTCTTCCTGATCGAGAGAAGCTTAGTTCCTCTACTAACCTGCATGCTACAGAAACAGTCTGTGAAAAACAATCTGCAGTTTACTTACGAGAGTAACTTAGCATATCGGAAATTTCTGTTGAGGCCATCAATTGCTTTCATGTCTTCTGGAGTCAATTCAAATTCAAAAATCTAAAGTCAAGAAGAGGATCACGTTAAACTCTCCCCCAAGGCAGCTGTCTTCTACCTGGGATCTTGAGGACTTTCCCACTTGATGGAGAAAGGAGGATATCCAGGGAAGACTTCCCTGTCATCAGCTTCCAGGTGTACTGGCCGGAGAACTCTTCTGCTGGGCTTTCCACCTCTCCCTGCCCACTCCTTCTCTAACCACTTCACAAGAGTAAGGCTCACAACTCATCAGTCCCAAATCTTTCCAAGTGAATTGCTTGCAACAGAAAAGAAAAATATCCCCCTTTTACAAACAATGCCAGAGTTGGACAATCTGGAGAGAATACCTGCTTAGTTGACCCAGCTTTAGTAAGATTATTCCTTCCCCACAACCCTCTAGAATTTGACAGCCTTGAATTTAAGCAAGCCTTGGAAGGAAGAGCAACTTCCTGTGAAAGCCTCTACCAGAAACTATTGACCTCTGGAAAAAGCATTCTTTGATCAAGTATTAGTTGACACCAACTGCTCATCCCAACCCCTAAACACCATTTTATTTCTAGGAGGGTTTCCACTTCCCTATAAAAGAAAAGACTTTCTGATTGATCTCTGAGACACTATACATTTTATATTCAGAGTGTTCTCCCTTTTGAATAAAGTCTCTCTTATTTAAGCCCAGATTTGTTTTTAATTGATGATGCATAGCCCCTAACAGAGAGTCCTTTAGTGGCACAGCAGAAAGATCTTTGGTAAGAAATATGACAGTGGGAAGCTCATTATTTTATCCTGGGGACAACTTCATGGAAACTCAGTGCGTTATCTTCCTATATCTTTGTCTATCTATCTATCTATCTATCTATCTATCTATCTATCTATCTATCCATCCATCTGTCTATATGTCATGCACCTATCCACCTGTCATTCATCTTAAAAATATACTCCAGAAGTGATTTGGTTATCATAGGGATATGTATTAACACGTTGAGTCGAATTGAGAAATAAAATGGGAATTTTTTCTGATTGATTTAACAATGAGATTTAGATTTGTGTATTTGATATATTCACAAGTTGAGTGAACTAAATCAACAACTTCAAGGATTTGGAGCAAACACCCTATAAATAATATGCTCTGAATGTCCTCTTTTGCAAATATTAAAATTGTCATAAAAATTTTAGCTGTCAGCTTAAAACAGGATAGAGCTTAAGCAGTTTTTCACAATTCTCATGAGGTTCACAGCAAAATAAGTTGAAGACCACTGATTGATCTAAGAGACCAGGGGAGAATTTAGAGAAAAATTGTACTTATTCATTTGTTAATTTGGTCCATCTATAAACTTATATATGATTTCCTACCTGCTGGGAGCTCTTCTGGGAAAACGTGCTAAGAGATGACCCAGAGGGAGTAACTACATTTAGGGTCTCATAATCTAGAAAAGACCGTGACATATAAACAAACAATTCTCGTTTAATAAGGAAAAACTCACTAACAGAGCCATGCCAAGTGCCATGGTGTTCAACAACTGTGCTGGGGTGTCCCAATGGAGAAACAAAGCAGCTAATGCTATTTGGTTTGACATTGACGTGCAAATAGGGGTTCATCAGGTAGACAAGGGGAAGAAGAGGAAGCAGGTTTTTAAAAGTTCCTCTGCATAGGACTCTTACAACTGATGAAAAAAAAAACAGATTAAAAAAAAACACTGATGAAATGTGCTCTGTGTCAAACAATATGGAAGCAGCAAAGCCAGGCCTCGAGGACTTAAAGATTAGGACTCTGAGGCCAGTGCTCTCTCTTCCCCTTCTTCCAAGCTGCCCCCAGAGCATGCAGGGGAGAGACGCATGGGAATGAATGAACACGGCTGGGTACTGAAAGACAAGAGAGATGGCACCCAATACAGCATCCAGTCCTCACTCTGGAGAGACTGTCCAGCCTGTACCTGGAAGTTCTCTTTGATTCTCTTCTCATTGAAGCTCTTGGCCAGGACCACCACCCCCCGCTGCACCTGGTAGCGCAGGGCAATCTGGCCTGGACTTCGCTTGTGTTTCTTGGCAACAGCATTCAAGATTGGATCCTCCAAGAGATATGGACTGTCCTTTTCCACCCTGAAAACAAAAATCATGAACTCATATTTGAATAGCGTAGGACTGAAAATCTAGAGTAACATTTTCCCCAAGTTCCTCAGATAATTGAGAGAAATAGGTACATTATGGTATGATTTTAAAAGCGTTTCATGAATATTTGCAGAGATTCATTCACAATTGTGCCAAACTGGAAACAACTAATATGTCCATTAATGGGTGAATGGAGAAACAACCTGTGATATTTATGTCCATGCAAAGGAATATTACTCAGCAGTAAAAAGGACTGAACTAGATATTTGCAACAATGTGGATAAATGTCACAGATGTTATGCTGAGTCAAAGAAGGTGGACATGAGAGTAAAGAGTCTATGACATCTTTTGTATGTGAAGCACTATAACATAGCAAACTAATCTAAGTTGAAAAAAGAAATCAGGGGCCGGCCCAGCGGTGCAGCGGTTAAATGTGCATGCTCTGCTTCAGCGGCTGGGGTTCCCCAGTTCAGATCCTGGGTGCGGACATGGCACCACTTGGCACACCATGCTTTCGTAGGCATCCCACATATAAAGTGGAGGAAGATGGGCACGGATGTTAGCTCGGGGCCAGTCTTCCTCTGCAAAAAGAGGAGGATTGGCAGCAGTTAGCTCAGGGCTAATCTTCCTCAAGAAAAAGAAAAATTTAAAAAGAAAAAGGATATCATAGAGATGGTCACCTTGGGATGAGGAAGAATTGTCTGGAGAGGAACACAAAAGAACTTTGTTGGGAGATAGAAAAGTTCTGTTTCATGATACGAGTTGTGTTATACAGTATATCCACTTGTCAAAATTAGACTGCTAAATTCCTGCAAGACAAGCTGTGTAAATTTTACCATTAAGTGACTTTAAAAAAAATCTTATTCAGAGTGGGGTTTGGAGTAGGTGGACACGTAGTGGAAACAGAATGAAAGAATGTTGGTGATGGCTGAAGTTCACAGATGGTACCTGGAAATTCACACTATTATTTTTTCTTTAGGTAGCATTGCTTTATAGTATTATATAAATGTCAGATATACATCATTATATTTTTGTTTCTGTGTAGACTACATCATGTGCAACAACCAAAGACTAATTACCATCCATCGCCATACACATGTGCCCTGTCATCACTTTTGCCCTCCTCCCTTCCCCTTCCCCCTTTCCCCTCTGGTAACCACCAATCTAATCTCTGTATCTACGTGCTTGTTTGTTGTTGTTGTTCTTATCTTTACTTATGAATGAGATCATACAGTATTTGATTTTCTTCTTCTCTGACTTATTTTGCTTAGCATAATACCCTCAAGGCAGATCCATGTTGTTGCAAATGGCAAGATTTCATCATTTTCATGGCTGAGTACTATTCCATTGTGTATACATAGCACTTCTTCTTTATCCATTCATCACAGTATTGTGTCCACTTTTTTGCTTGAAACTTTCCATGATAAAATGTTAAAACTAAACTTGAAAAACAGGATTTCTTCATCAATGAAGTTGCTGACATACGTTAACCCTAACATTCTCATTACCAGTTTGGGTCTCTATGGGACCCCAGGGCACTGTAGGCAACTAGGACAATGTCCTTGGACTTGCAGAACTCCAGCAGTTTGCTCTGGTTGAGGTAAGGGTGACATTCCACCTGTAAGTTGCCAAGAACCAAAGGTATCAGAATCCGTGATGCAATAACATGTACATTTGAAAAGTCCTTTGAAGGAATATCTAACATCAGGTTAATACATATACTATAGGGTTCAGATTGGTACTTTTGCCCATGCACTTTCTGAAATACCTGCAAATGATGTTGGTTTTCAGAAATAATTAAACAATTCTCTTTATATTTTTACTAATGTTTAAAATGACTAAAGACCCACAGAACCAGGTTGTGGCCTCTAAATGCCTTTTCCTACTGTGAGAAACCAAGATTACTTAGAAAAATGGCTGATAGCTGGTCTGGGCAAAAAGCTACAAACTGACCCTAGAAAATCATACACTCTAGAAAGTGAAGAAGACTGGAAAGATGATGAGGCATGTCAAAGGAACCAGGAGCTCACTTGAAGAGGCAATGAAACTCTGACAACTGGATCATCAATAAGAAAAGGAACAACACTGGATAGGAAAATATCATATTTGTTAAAATTCATGAATTCACAATGACATACATATATGATCAAGTCTTTAGATGTAACCTCCAATTTACATTGGTACAAAAGTATCACATCAAACTGAATCACTGGGATCAATCAGTAATACCAATAGTGTGGAAAAAGTTAAAGGAAAAAAGTCTTAGTTTTTTTCACAAAGAAATTATAGAGAAAGAGAAAAAGAAGAAGGAAGACGAGGAGAAGGAAGAGGAGGGAAAAAGAGAGGGACATATTTGAACATATCTTGAATTATTTTCTACAAATAGATTCCTAGAAATGAAATAACGAAGACATAGAGTAGAAATATTTGAATGGTCTCTTGCATAATTTTCAAACTCATTTGCAAAAATGCTTTTTTTGTTTGACATTTTGTTAGACATGTACAATGTCATAGTGTTTAAAAATTGACAGCATTGGGTGTTATGTTTAGAAATTACATCTTTCAATTATAATTACTCATTTCCTCACTTTCTACTGTTTTGGTTTTTCTCGCTCTTATTTTCTCACCTCTGTGTAACTGCTCCTGCAAGGGTCCCACAAACTCCATGTCGTTAAATGCAATAACTGTTTCCATTCCTCTTGGATTGTCTGCTCCATGACAGGATCCACCCTATGGCTCACGCAATCCTTTTTGTCCCTCTTCGGTGGCTCTCCTGACACCACACTCTCCTCATTTTCTCTCTCCCTGTCTGATCACTCCTCCCCAATCTCCTAACCATTGCCTCTTTGCCTTGTCCTTCAATGCTGACTTTCCTGCCCTCTTCATGTTCTGTCTATGAAATTTTCCAGGAGAGGGAATCGACTCTTGTGAGTTTAATTACCATTCATAAGGAAATGATTCGAAAATCTCTACCTCTAGTCTTAAACACCTTCCTGAGCTCCAGACCAGTATCACCATCTTCCAACTCAGCATCTCCACTTGGACATCTCATAGGAACCTCAAACCCACCTCTGAAGAACTGAAACAATACTCTTCCCATGCCATTCAACCTATTCCTTCTTTGGCATTTCCTATGGCAGTAAAAGGAACTATCATTACACCAATTGACATCAAGCTGGGAACTTGAGGATTGTTAGCTAAGGAGGAACATGTGAAGGGTGGAAAGCAAGGAAACTCTGGTGGACTCTGGGCTTGCCTGGTTGCAGACGGGCTTGTATTTGAGCCCTGGTTTGTTCAGGATCATCTCCAGCTGTTTGTGATTGAAATTGGACACCCCAATGGACTTGGTTAAACCCGCATCTTTACACTTCTCCAGGGCCTGCAGAGGAGGAAAAGGTGTGGTAAACTTTTCATGTAGTTTGGCCCTTTCATTTTCTAGTGAACATTTTAAAAACAGGAAATCTGTCATCATATTTATCACAACTTGACTGAACCCATTTTATTGCTTGAATACATTACCTCCTAATATACTGTATTGCTATGCATGTCTACTTTGTCTCCTTGCTTCTACTACATGCACACCCAGGATGATAAATAGACATGAAGATGTTTCTCAGTTCCCCTCCCTGCCCTCTTCCATGTGCCTATTTTCCTGTTAGGCATCTAACTGTTCTTTAGCAAATGGTGTCAGAGTCAAGAGCAAAGAGAAACTCTCAGGTTTTCCTAGTAGAGGGTTTGGCTGCTTCCTCTTTCCTAGAGTGGTGAAAAACATGGTGGGAAAGGCTACATAAGGGCAGGCTTCACTCTCCCTCAGTCCACCCTTCTGCTAAGTCAGACATAGCCTTCCATCCCTGGTGGGCCTGTTTAGCCATCTTTGGAAGGCGCTCTAACTCCTCTTGAGTTTCCTCTGACAATCCCCTTACAGCATTCCCATGGTCAACCTAATCAGTGGGGCAAAGAACCCCTACTTATAAACATAGAAATTCAGATGAAGAACAATCCTTACAGGTCATCTCATTCAGTTCCCTTCCTTAACAGATGAGAAAATCATGGTACAGAGAAGTACAGTGATGTGGTCAAGGTTAGACAACTGATGGGGCCAGAACCCATTTCTTCTGACTCCCAACCAGTGATTTCTATCTTGTCACCCAGTGCCTCTTAGGTGTCAGTGGCAGTACTTACCTCCCATGTGTCCCGAAGGTCCACTGTGTCGAAGATAATTTTCCCACTGGCATCCTTTGGCAGAATCTCATCCCCAGACTGGAATACAGACAGGAGAAAGGATGAAGAAGAGGTATTTTTTTTAAAAAAATTAACTTCCAGGTGCCCAAGGAGCTGGGTCCCAAAACCTTCAAGAGGCTAACCCGAGTGTTTGTGTGTGCGTGTATGTGTATGCTGCGTAAGAGAAGAGATGTGGGAAAGGAAGATTATCAGCAGTTGAGACACAACAGTGAAGCACCTCTTTCCCAATGACACTGCCCTCCTATCCACATCCACCACTGAACTTCACCTAAGAATGAATTCTCCTAGGGCTGTAATAGATTTTACTTCCCTAGGACAGGCTGGTCTGGATGACTCGACTTATCTTTACTACTGAGCAATGCGTTTTAGCTCCGCTTTATGATTACCCAACTCAGATATAGTGAGGATCACAGGTCTGCGCACTGAACATCCACTACGATGTGAGGTTGAATCAGTGAAGCCCAAACGAACCTAGCTATATAGCATGGACCATCACAGAGTACCTCACTCTTCGTTAGGGCTGAGAGGTCCAAATTGGAGAGACTTTCCCTTAAAGAGGTGGGAGTTTCCCACTGCATCTCTGCAGTCTATTGTAACTCAGCTTTCTTGAGGACCCTAATCACTAACTCACTACAGACATAGCAAATCACTTAGACAAGTAAGGTGACGTCCTCAACTCTTTGAGGTGGATGCAGTGAGAATACTGAACTTCAATCTTTCTGAAGCCTACAGGATGAGGATAAAAGAATCTTGGTGAGGAAGTGGCACAGCTATTAAGGAGAGACATAAATCATTTAGCAATTCTATCAGCCAAACTCAAACCTACCTCTCTCAGTAAAAACCGAGAAAACCCAGCCAGAATAAGAAAACGGAGGTACAAAGGCAGTGATGAAATACTCTTGGGTGTGACAAGGAAAGCAAAAGCTGACCTTCATAGCAACTGGCCAATGAATGATGAAGAGATCTACATAGTCCAGTCCAAGTTTCGTCAGTGATTTTTCCAGGGCTGGCTGAACGAATTCTGGTCGAAGGAAAGTACTCCAAAGCTGCAGTGACCAAAAGAAATACTAAATGTCTTATGATTTCCCACATTTGGGGACCCAAAGTAAACCTCGTAGTTCAAAGACTGAGAAGTGCACACAAACCACTGTAGTGGTCTAAAAATAAGAAATTCTGGGGCTAAAATTATGTGACCTAGTATAAATGAGCTCTTTACTGGGACCTGGGATTTGCCTGAATGGCTGTAAGAAAACTGTGAATAATACTTAGATGGCCCAGGAAAAGTGACCTGTGTGTTTCAAGGATTAGAAAAGACATCTCTGGAAGGGGAGCCAAGAAATGCCAGGCAAAGGGAAGTGGAATTTACAGTCCTTTATAATAAATGCCAGGAAACAGTTCTGCTGAGAGGCCTGCGCTCTAAGAACAATTTTACCACTGATGTTGACATACATAGGATCATTCTGTAGAGACTTCAGCTCTCTTGACATTGGAAACAGGATTTTCCACCTAAGAAAACTGTACACATTTCAGCAAACTCAATGCTGACTTGAAAAAAGTATTTCCTAGTCTGATTCCCTTTTCTGAATAATACGTCAGCATCACTTGGATATGTGCTGAAAGGATCTGCTGAAAGATAAAAGGTGTACACTCGCTCCATAGTGGCTCAGTCAATTCATACACCAGCTCTAGAAGAAAAGGATCATCATTGATGTTCCAGATATGCATGCTGACTGATATTCAGAGAGGCTGAACAACTGAGCCCCACCTTTAACACATTTCAGGGCAAAGCAAGCTTTTTTCTGTTTTATGCTTTTCTGCAAGGAGTCTCTGCAATCTTAGAAGGTAAATAAATTATTCCGATAAACATCAAGTTGTGGGGTTTTTAAAAAAAATAAAATATCTGATCTTGACAGCAGCCTCTAGTCACTCCACCCACAGCACCTTGGTCGTGTAGAATATGTCCGCTCTCTTCACAGTACCATTCTCCATCTTCTCTCGGAGGGCCTTGCCGACCTCCTCTTCATTTTGATAGAAGAATGCCGCATCGATGTGACGGAAACCCACATCAATAGCCACTTTGGTGGCCTCCCAAGCTTTGCTCTTAGGAACCTATGAAATATGAATCAGGAGGGTTGGTAATCCACCTGACTTAGAGAGAAGCAATCTATTTCCTTGATAGAGTTTCACCAGCTGTTTCTCCATGTCTCCTGTTCCCCTGTTTGATGATGCAAGCCTTAGTAGCAAACCTGTCTTCCGGGGGCAAAGACCAAACTCCAATGTGACCTCTAAGTTGAAATGAATTCAGGAAATGGGCTTCACCATAGAACACAAAAAGTCAAGTCTCAGTCAATAAAGAATTAGTTGTAAGGAAGTAACTCATAGGAAATCTTCTGATTCTGGGATGAAACTTCGACATATATAGATGGAGAGAGATATAGATATAGATTCTAAAGATACATATGTCAATATCTATTTTTAGTGTAGAACTGGAAAAGAGTCCATAATACTGGCACCTCCTCCATCCAGTTTCCACCAAAATGAGCTCTTAAAGTCATTTATGATTTTTTTATCCTTCATTCCCCAATGCTCTCATTTAACACTTATGCAACAAGCCTTTATTACAGGCCATCTGTGTGCCTGGCACACAATGGAATATTATTCAGCTTTGTACAAGAAGGAAAGCTTGTCATTAGCAACAACCTGTATCAAGCTGGAGGCTATTATACTAAGTGAAATAAGCCAGACAGAGAAAGATAAATACCACGTGGTGGAATCTGAAAAAAAAATTCCAGTTCTAAGAAACAGAGAGGAGAAAGGCCAGAGGCTGAAGGTTGGGGGGAAAGAGGAGAGGGTGGTAAAGAGATAAAAACTTTCAGACATTATAAAAATCAGATTTTAGGACTAATCTATAACATGGTAATCATAGTTAATAACACTATATGGTATAATTGAAGTTTACTAAGAGAATAGAAATTAAATAGCCTCACCAAGAAAAAAAAAATATGAAGTGATGGAAGTGTTAAACTTGATGAAGGGAATCTTTTCAGCATGTCTACATGTACCAAATCATCTTGCCATACACTTTAATCACCTTAGAATTTTGTCAGTTTTACCTCAATAAAACTAAAAAGAATTAAAAAAAAATAAAGTGTACCAATTGGATTAAAGGGAGAATAATAGTTGACTTTGAGGGGATTGTGGAGAGGATTAAATGAGAAATGTATTATCCTGTAACAGACACAGTCATCACTCTACCTATATCTGCCTGGGACTCAACATATCTGTGTACTGTGATACAGGCTTCCAACTGCGAACACCTATGACTCTGTCTGGGGGAATTCTATGACCACCAGAGTCTTTAGAAGAGACCAGCAATAATTAGGTAAAGAGGGGATCTTGTCCAATGGATGCTACTTAGCCTGTATACATGACCACTCCAGTACTTACACCCTGGGCCCATGAATGAAATGGCCATGGTTAAAGGGATTAAGACTATGCATGGGCCAACTGCACAAGCTACTTCTTACCAAGGCTGTTTGAGCTACCACTATTTTGAGATGAGTGACCTGTCAGCAGCAACAAAGACTGACACTAAGTCTTGGTAAAGTACAGTTCCTCTAGGAGACAAGCCAGCCCCTGGGTGGCGAGTTGACAATATTAAACTCTCCATGTTACTGGGGATGGAAGCAAGCAATTCATCTTTAGTGAAGCTGGTAACATTCTATGAATGTGTTTGCCATCTCTTTTCACAGTCCTTCTGACAGCATTACTATGGAGGGGCTACAGAGAGTTGGATTTACCAATCTAGGATCCCATGTAACATTGTCTATATGTTCTTTTCTCTGTGGTCCATATCTGTCTTTAAAACAGTAATAGAATTTGGATATAACATAGGTAAGACATATGCTATGCTTAAGCTATACTAGTGGATACAATGATAATTATGTCATTGCAAACAAATTGTCCCTGTCTGACAGCTATTAGCTATTGATATTTCATGTCATATTTCATAGAAAGATGGAGCATATCAATCTCCATTATTTATGGGGGCAACCCTCCCAAGCAACCCCAAAGCGTCCCCTACCTCACCGTGACCAGACAGTAACACTTAGAGTGCATTGCAGCTTCACCATGTGGATGTATAAAGAATACATTTGGTGAAAAGCACAATTCTGTCTCCATTGTTAGTTTGTGCCTCTTAAGTCTTCCTTTCTAATACCTAACACTTGGAATAAGAATGCCTTCTGAAATGAAATAAGGAAACCATTGGCAAATACTTCCAGCCCCGAAGAACCGAACCGAAAGCAAAGCTGCTACAAAGTAGTCATGTTACTTGTACTTTCCTTCTGTGCCCACTGCCCGTGAGGGAGCTGTAATAAAGAGCTGAATGACTCTGACTGAGGCAGCAGTGAGTGCAAGAAGAGCTGCCTGAGCTTGGATTTCACATGTGTAAGAAACAAGAATAATAATAATTTACCTAGGACAGTTGTTGAGGAATTCAAGACAGTGCGTGGAAAGTACTCAAAATACATAGTAAACATTCAACATATGCTAAGTCACCACATCAATAATAATGATAATCCACCCTCAAAATTCCCAGCCTCTGAATCCCCAGAGTCAACTGCTTGTCATCCTACTTAGTGCAAAGTTAGAGATGGTGAAACGGAGGCTCAAAGAGTCAGTCCAAATCACCCACAGTGTACCAGGCATGGGGTTGCAAGTCTACTGACCACCCTTCCAGGTTGTTTCCAGGGTTGTTTCAACCCTCTAGTCCCCTGGGCTCCACTTACTTCATCTGAAGCAAAAGTGCCAAATCCAAGCACAGGCATAAAGTGCCCATCATTCAGTTTCACAGAGCGACTATGGTTGAGGGCCATCACCGTCCACAGTCCTGGCTGACTTGGTTCTGTCTTTCTTTCCTTTCCCTTACTGGGAGCTGAGTAGAAGACAAGGCTCCAGCATTCTTTATTTCTACTAAGCACAATAAGATAGGCGGGGCTGGGATTGCAGAGGCCAATGATCTCAAAAGGAAACTAGAATCAGGCCACTGACTGCCCTATACTTCTTTCAGGTCTCTGCAGGCATATCTTACAGAAATAACATGCAGAAAAGTCATGCATGTTATGGGAGTTTGAATTTTCTCTTTAGCCTTGCTCATCCATGACTCCTAAGTTAAAAAAAAAATTTAACCATGTCAATTTCTGCTTGATAATTACATCAGACTTACTTTACAAGATGCAAAATAATCGGTAGACTTGTCATTTCTAAACACTAATTCCATCATAGTACTTTAGTTAAATACTTCATCCTCCATTTTGTTAACAATCCCATCAAAAAGACTTCTTCAGAATGTCTTGAACAAAGACCAACACATGGTCCCAAGCACACATGGAACAAAATGCCTTAAGAGCTGCCATCCCTGATTCCATTATCTTTTTCCCTGTTTCAAGAACTCATTTCCCCTTCTGATTTCTGTATCTTGCTTCTTTGAATCTTTTTTACAAGAAAAAACTGGTCTGAGATCAAGGATGAATTTCTGCAGTTGTGCCTTAGTTTCAGCTACTGTCTCCTCCTGGCATAGCCTCCTCTATTCCCCCTTGTTCCCACCAGCCATATCAACTGTTACTTATTCTAACAGCATGTGTTCTGCTCCTGTCCTTTATTACTCCTTTCAGTGCTTCCTTCCTATGCTTATTCAGAATCTAATTGTTAGAATGCAGTGTGATGGGGGCAAGCGTTAGAACAGGGACTGGTCACACAACAGCCCATTGCACCAGTACAATTCCTTAAAGATGAGAAGCCAGGAGTGCTTTATGAAATATTTCTGGTAGGCATTCTTGGATGGTTCTAAACAAAAACCACAAACTACTCAAAGTCTTTGAAAAGGACTTCCCAGAGGCTGGCCCCATCATGTAGTGGTTACTTTTGTGCCCTCCACTTTGGCATACCAGGCTTCACGGGTTCAGATCCTGGACACAGACCTACACACCACTCATCAAGCCATGCCTTGGTAGCATCCCACATACAAAATGGAAAACTACTGGCACAGATGTTAGCTCAGCAACAATCTTCCTCAAGCAAAATGGAAGACTGGCAACAGATGTTAGCTCAGGGCCATTCTTCTTCACCAAAAAAATAAAAAGGATTTCCCAAATATTAGAATACCCAAAATAACCACATTCATCTCTAAACCTTTGATGAAAGTTCATATTTCTGGGCCCACCTAGGGATTTAGGAGACAACAACCAGGGAGTTCACCCTGGCTACCTGTAGCTAACAGGAGCTGTTTTTGATGTGTCCTCCGGGAGGGCGTGGACCAGAAGAGATGCAGGTTTACAGAGATACCAGGAGAACCAAGTTCAACACCACGGAGGACTCCTCCAGCAAGCCAGGACTGCGGTCAGCAGCTACTCTAGTTCATCTCCAATCTGGAAGATTACTTTACAATCAATATGCCTGTGGCTATCAGGCACTAATGTCACCCCTTCTATAATGTGCTGTCCCACTTGTGCAGACAAAGAATGAGTAGGGACGACAGGACTATGTGAAGCTGTGTGGGTTTTGGTATGGATAGGTGTCTCATGGAGACTGGAAGCGGCAGGAAAAGCCTGGGACACTTAGCAACTTCTGCCTTCACTGGACACAGACACTTGGAGGGAAGGACAGAAGGGACCTGAGTCCTGGTGGTGCCAAAAGATTTTCACATATGGAGATATATGTGGTATCTATTCTGGCTCAAACCTTTCTGGCTTGAAGTAAAGAAGCCTGACTTATGGCTTATCAAACATATATTGTACATTTGCTCTAACCATTAAGGAAAGAGTGCATTAAACATTATCGCAAAGTAAAAGAACTCACTCTTTTAAGGTAGGAATCCATACCTCCCTTCCCATACCCACCAGTATTCCTGAAGATAAGTTCCTTTTCCCACACATCAGGGTCATGTTGACCTGCTGATTTTTAACTAAATACCTGTATGAAACTTTGAATATGTATCCTTGGCATGTTTAATGTATGTTCTGTGTTCTAAAAAGATATGAAAATGTACTGGACACCATGCTCTACAGAACACTTTCTTCCTTTGTGGAAGCTATCTTCTCAGGTTATAATGCTCAGCGTGGCTCAAGAAAAACTCACTTTATCTCTCTTATCTACAGAATGTTTATGGCCATTTTGCATCCACAGCATGCTGCTCCTTTGGGGATCCTAGGCCAGGATCTGACTTGTAGGATACACTATGTATCACAGAGGGCCCAGGCTGGACATTCCCCTATTAATCCAATGACCAGATAGAATCCTCCAGCCTCCCAAGTTTCACTGGAGAAAGTTGCTTGTCCACTGGGGCTTGCATTTGACCAGCCCGGCTTAATGAAGTTGGCAAGGATTCAAACTTTCCCTCATTTATACAATCAAGTTGAACAAGAAAACTCTATGTCCAGAGACCTCAGGATTTCCCAGTCCTGGAGAAGAGGGAGAGGTTGGCATCCTCGAGTTATAAATAAGTAATGCTCACGTGCCACCAGTAAATAATTGCTTTATTTTCTCCTCACCCATTCCCTACAGAAGAATTGTCACTGTACAGAGAATACCATACATTTTCTCAGGAAAAGATATCTGGACATGGTTTTAAAAAATAAAATTATGTTGCCGGCAGTGCTCATCCCTAGGAAGTGGTCTGTTTCATTTAATGATTCTCTGGCAGGAGAACTGGGTCATGTGGTGTTCTGTGGGAACAAAAATAGAGTACACTTGAACTTGAGAGAGGCTTATGTGTATGGCATGTGGGGCTGAGGGGCTGTCCAGGCCAAAGGTCAGAGAACATAGCTTTGGAAAAGGCAGGGGTGGAAGAGGCTGTAAGGGAGCAGGGATAGAAGGAAGACAGGGTGGAGAGAGGATATGAGGCATTGTTTTTGCCTTGGGAGAAATTTCGGGGAATAAACAGAGAAGTTTAAGGAATATCTATAAAGTTTGAATTATGCTGGGTGATGAAATTCCTAACCCATGGAATGTGAAGTACAATCCACTTGACTCACTATTGAGTCATGGGGTGGGTTTTGTCTGAAGAACAAAACAAGCCCTGAAGGTGGCTTCAAGATGAATAAAGGGAATCTGAGCCTCTTTGCGGGATCCCTGCCTCTACCGCATCTTTTTTTATTTTAATAAAATCACCCCATACTATCATCAAAGCCTTAGAATCCACTGGGGCTCCTGTTCTCAGAGGATGACTCTGCAGTTTTCAAGATTGTGAAACTCCTGGCTGGGCCCACAGTGCAGGGAGTGGTAAGGAGAAAATTGATAACTTCAATGACTGTTTCAGTTAGCCTACAACCAGGTCAAGAAAGCCTATCACAAGTTGGTTTAAACTCCATAGAAATGTGTTACCCCCATAACAAGAAGTCAAGAGGAAGGGCCAGCTCTGGGTCAGTCACAGGAGGTCCAGATGTTCTCCAATATTCTCTTGGTTCTTCCTTCCTCTGTGTCCTGGTATCATCCTTTGGCTGGGTGATAACAGCATAGCAATTTCAGACATCACATTTCAACAGGACATATCCAGTCAAAGGAGAGGGGCTGGCTATGTTAAGAAGTGAGGGAAATTCTCTTGGAAGCCCCCCAGTGCAGCTCCTCTCATGTGTCACTGACTAGGATTCGATCACAGTCCTCTTCCCAAGGCAATTACATGTCAAAGGCAGTGGAGTTAACATGAGCCATCTAAACAAACTATTTGGAGCACAATGGGTGTTGGGAAGGCAAACACCTTGACCACTGAAATGGTAGTCAGAATCTGATTGTGTTTAGATTAGATGCTTGTAACTTTGGACACACTTAGAACTCCTTGATGAGTGTTTAAAACATAGTGATACCTAGGCTTTGCTACAGTGAAAGAAATGGAAATCTCCAGTGGGTAGGGAGCCTCAGCTTCAGATAAAAGGGTCCACATAAATAAAAGCAGAGCAGTTGTCTCGGTTTTAGAAATATGTGTCCTGTATTATTGGTACATGGACAGACTAGGAGGTGAAAGAAGGCCTCACCCTGCACCAATCTGTTTAAAAGAGAAATGTAGAGGATGAGTAGAGTCTGGTTTTACTTCAGTTTAATTTAATACATAACCTAATTTGAATGTGTAAACGTCTATGGGAACCAAAAGGATAAAAAGGGGGAAAAATAGACTCAGCAAATACAATTCTTGATGAATCAATAACTTGATAGATTGAGGTGTAGTAGAAACCACAGAGTGAGAGAACTGATCAGGGCACAATGTGTTAAACATAAGATTTCAGAGATGAAGCAGTTCTAAGAGTTAAAGGTGGAAGTAGCTAGCTCGTGTCATGTAGGTCCAAGTAGAAACTCTCGGTAACTGACAATGTCAAATCACTGAGAAGCTTGAGTTGTCTGCGTGAACAAGGATGATGTCAACATATGCTGAGAAAGAATTATAAACTAAGACCGTGAAGGTACTGTACTGAGAAGTGGGTAAGATTGTACTGTTAAACTCTACAGTTTAACTCTACAGTGTCTACGGTTTATCTACAGCCTGATACCAGCCTTAACAGGACAATTACATTCTTCTCTCTTTCTAAGGAATTTTACATCCTGATGCAAGGGGCTATTGTGCCACCATTCCCCTGTTGTAACTTTGATCCGGTCACATTGCATTCTGAGTATTAGATTCCAAACCAATGGTCAGTTTCAGTCTTCATCTTGCTTGTGCTTATGCTATTAGTAGCATTTGACTCTTCTCCATGAAACAGATTCTTCATTTGCCTTCCAAGACATAACAATCTCCCACTTTCCCAATAGGTGGGAGCTAGAACTACTGGAAGGATGGAAGCTGCTGTTGCCTCCCTCAGAAAGGAGGGATATCACCCCAACATCTCCCTCCATTTCTAGTCTCTCATCAGTGCCTCCTAATACCCGAACCCAGCTGGAAACCAGGAGACAGGGAAGCCAGGCCCCA